AAGGGCACCATTAAAGTATTTCCAACTGGAATGTTGATGGCGGCCGGTCAACAGCTGCTGAAGCCTGGTGACAGAATCACTGGCTGGACAAATTTGAGAAAAAACAAATTTTCCCTTTAAAACATATGTGGACACACATGCTGGTGCTAATTCCAGACTAACAAATATTTGTAGATTTTATAGAAAGTGCGTTGACATGCTGTATGTTCAGCCGAAACCTGGCTAATGATTAGATGATTCTATCTAATTAATTTTTTTTTTACTTTTATGTACTATCTGTAGGCAATTTAGTTAGAGTTAGTTTTGCTTAATTCCCAGTGGCGTGATTTTCTTTAAGCATTATAATGTTATTTTAATTAAGCTGAAAATTTCATTTTCAGCTTGGGAAGCACAATATCGTACTTTTCAAATTTTTAAGTATTACATAGAGCTTTGTGTTTGTGGTGTGAGGTAAAGGAGTTTGGTGGTTCATAATATTCATGTAGTTAATAGGTTGTTATGAGATGTTGTACAATCCATAATTAGGGGTTCTTCATGTGTGAGAGCAGAGGTTACACAGGAGATGATGAGAGAGGAGACAGCTGAACAGTACACATTCATTTCCCAGCTGCATGAAAAAGCATCAAGGAGCTCTGAGCACCACTCTGGTCATGGCAACAGAGTATTAACATAAAGCACCACCTTTTCTCCGTCTCCCTCGGCTTGCTCTGTGATCAGTCCTGCAGGGCCAACATTTCAGCTCGTGAGCTTTGTTTTTCTTTTTTTCATTTTCCTCTGAACCTCCCCTATATTCAGACTGGGTCTGTGGTCTACCTGAGAGCATTGGTTCTCACTAGAAATCCAGCTCTAATGACCAGGATGTGTGGCTAAGGCTACATTGGCGATGAATCTTTTTTTTCTGAGTCTGAGATCTTTTAGTACATCTATGTGTGCGTTAAAGGACATGCTATTTATAGTAAGGGCCTCTGTCAAATGGGCCCTTTCCTGTCAACCGAAATTGTGCTGTTAGCAAGCAAGCACAGTGTTTAAAACAAACAAATCCTAACACCACTGATGCTTTTAGTCATCTGTTTAAAATACACACATAAATAATGTTCAATCATTAGGCATTTCAAAATGAACGCATTAATCAAGTTAATAAATTTAGAATTAGTCCTGACACATACTGTATATCCAATAATTCTATTACTGAGAAAAGTGTTTTATGCCCTTTTTTTAATTTGCATTTGCTAATGTTGTAAAACACTGCTACAACGTTTCCCTGTAGGGTTCAGCTGTGGTATCACTGCCCAGCTAGATCACACAAGTGCTTGGAGTTGTTTCCTAACAAGGTGAGCACAATGTGATGATAGAAATATTTAATACAACTAAAGAAATGTACCTGTAGTTTTACACAGTGGCATTAAACTGGGAGCACCACTGGTGTGGGACTGTTTGGACACTGACTAATTCCTTTTGTGTTTCTCTGTTCCAACCCAACAGCAGGTGGTGGGGGTTGTTACGGGCTCGGGGGCTGTTGTCACAACCACTGATTGTGATACTGTGTTATTGTGTTAATGTGATTCTATGAAACAAGCTCTGATGGAGATGAGAGATTTCAGTGATTCATCATCATTTTTCCTGGCTTTTAGTGTAATATATTTGAATGCATAATTAGTCATAATTTTGCCTCATTCTTTTGACATCCCTTATATACTGACATTTTTTAAATACAATATATAATATTATATATTTTATAATAAAATATATAACATTTTCATGTATTTTCCTATTAGCTTTAATGAATATTTTAGTTAAAAAGTCAAAAGATTAGCTTTAATGAATATTTTAGTTAAAGTCAAATTACATTACTGTAATATTAACATGGATGTGTGTGTACCAGGTGTTTGTATGTTTGTGAACAGTCTTTTGGAAAAGTCATATGTCTGTTGTGGCACCACACAGATTTACATGCCAGCTATTAGTGTGTACGTGCATGTGTGTGTTACTGGTAATACTGTACTTGTGGGGACATGCTTTATAAAATACCATTCCTTCAGGGATACTTTATCTTGAATTACAGGGTATTTTGAGGTTGAGATTAGAGTTAGGGTAAGGACTGAGATTAAGAATATAAAAATCTGGGGAATGTCAGTGTGTGTAAACAGTACGTGTGTGTGTGAGGTACTCATTACCAGGCACATATTTTTAAATGCTTGGAGATGACAACCCACCACGGAGCCTCACAGAAGTGGGAGGTTACTGTTTGTAATACATTAATAGAATATTGACATATTATTGACATTTTCTGCTCATATCTTTGCAGTATTCCAGTCTTTACACTGTTTTTTAATACACCGTACTGCACTGACTTATTGCCTGGAGACAACTAGGATTTATTACTCCTATACAGTTCCACCTTATCAGTCCATACGGTGTGGATGAATTATGTTCTTATCAGAGGGAGGGCTGACGCAGAGGAAACAAAAATGTAAATGGGGACATATTTATTTATGTTGGCAAATTTCTATACTAATTTATCAAACAATATGTTTCAAAGCCCCAACCATAAATAAAGTTCATTATGTGTTTGGACTCCGTGACTGGGCAGCAGGAAGCAGTGCACTGCTTGTGTTTGCATAAATTCTAAATACACTGAGCCATGAAGAGATTGTTAATCAGGGGGTAAAGAAGGCTTTCAACTCGATTGTCAGGGGTAAAGTTCACTGCTGCCTGCCAATGTGTCCTTGGGCAGTACAGCCTCTCCAAAATAGCATACCCCTGGGATTTGCAGCTCAAGTACTTGCAAGGACACTTATAAGGAAATAAGAGGTTTTTTATAGAATGCAAACTTGATGTAAATGGTACTTTGTGAATGTCATCCATTTGTTTGCAGCTGTTTGTTGTAAGCCTTTATATTTTCTCATCTTCATGGACTGTTGCCATATGGTGTGAGCCACGGGCAAAACGTTGTTGTTATAATTGTATAATTACTCTGTGCTGTAATATGAATTTTGTAGAGGTGGGGGAGGATAGAGGTAATCTGTGGGTTAATGTTCACAAGTCACGTTTGCGTGTTTTTATTTTTCACGTGTAAACCCTTGTGTTGTGTCCTGGCACGGACATTGTTTAAGCAACAGTGTTTGCAGTTCTTTAACAGAATGTAGAGTGCATTTTAGACAACTTCAACTACATTTACAACTAAGGGCAGTGTTTGCAGTTCTTTAACAGAATGTACAGTGCATTTTAGACAACATTTACAACTAAGGGTGTGTACTGTGCTGTACCAGACTCAGGCCATACAGGGTTGCAGACAAAAGGAGACATATAGTGCAGCACAACTGTTTAAAATTCAGCTGCAATACAGTTCTGGAAATCTTCTATTATGTGACGCTCTCAAAGAACATACTGCATTGGCACCGTGCCTCCAGGCTCCAGGTTTAAGAGAATGACCCTTTACAAGTCTGAGGTTTGATGAAACCAGCCAGCACACGGAGCAAAAATATCAGGCATCAAATCAGTTGGGGTGATATTAAAATATCATCAAGTCTCACGCGCATGAACTAACATTCTGCTTCAGGGCAGAGCAGAGTCAGAAGACCATTTATGTGCTGTAGAAATACACCGGTCTACTGGAGCTGAGGAGCAGTCATGTGAATTTCTAGTTTAGCAGGAAGTTCACATGAGAAGACAATGTTGCCTCATAAGTCACAAGCACAATTCACAGGAACTGTCTGGAGCCGGCACCTCATTGTTATTTTCACTCAATTGCAGCTCGACACTCGTGCCCTCGGCCAAAGCCTCGCTGTGAGATTGCAAAATGTTCTGCAGTATCACTGTAACCATT